CTCTCTCTCTCTCTCTCTCTCTCTCTCTCTCTCTCTCTCTCTCTCTCTCTCTCTCTCTCCAGTACCGGGGATTGAACTCAGGACCCTGCGCTTGCCAGGCAAGTGTTTATTCTACTGAGCTATCTCCCAGGCCCCTTGAATTATTTTCTTTAAATCTATGAGATATAGAGTTGGAATTTTCATTGGAATTGTCTTACATCTGTATAAAGTTTTAGAAGTATGGCCATTTTTTACTCTGTTGGTTCTTCCTACCCAAGAGCAAGGGATATCTTTCCATTTTCTGATATTCTCTTCAATTTCCTTTTTCAGAGTACTGTAGTTTTCAATGTAGAGATATTTTACGTCCTAATTACACTGATTCCTAAGTATTTCATTTTGGGGGATGGTATTGTGAAAGGTATTATTTCCCTAATTTCTCTCTTGGGTTTGTTATTCATGTACAGGAAGGCTATTGATTTTTGAGTGTTGACTTTGTATCCATCTATGCTACTGAATTTTGTCATTAAATTTAGCAGTTTTTTAGTGGAGTTTTTGTGGTCTTCTATGTAGAGTATCATGTCATCCACTAATAATGATAGTTTTTTTTTTCATCTTCTTGAGACATGGTCTCACTATGCAGTTTAGGCTGGCTTTCAGCTCACTTTGTAGCCCAGGCTGGTCTCAAACTTGCTACAATCCTCCTTCCTTAGCCTCCTGAGTGCTGGACTTATAGGCATGTGCCACCATGCCCATATAATAATAGTCTTCCTTTCCTGTCATAATTCTTTTTATTTCTTTCTCTTGTCTGATTTCTTTGGCTAAAGTTTCCAGGACTATGTTGAATTGAAGTGGAGCCAGTGGATATCCTTGTCTTGTTCCTGATTTTAGAGTGAAAGCCTTTAATTTTTGTCCATTTAGTATGATGGTGGTTGTTGGTTTGTCATAGATGGCTTTTATCAGATTGAGATAAAGACCATCTATTCCAACTTTCTGTAGAGTTTTTAACATGAATGAATATTGAATTTTGTCTAAAGCCTTTTCTGCATCTATTGAGATGATCATGTGGTTTTTGTCTTTAGCTCTGTTGTTGTGTATTACGTTTATGGATTTGCATATGTTGAACCATTGCTGCATCCCTAGGATGAATCCCATCTGGTCATGATGTATAATCTTCTTGATGATTTGCTGCATTCCGTTTGCTATCACCTTATTGAGGATGCTATTAATTCAGAAGTTTCAGCTGTGTGATTCCCAATTTCTTCTGTGCTAATGTCTTCTGCACTTGTTCTGGGTGTGCTCAGGGCCTGAGATTGCATTTTGCTCCTTCTCTTTGTCATTTTTTTGAGCACTGTCCTCTGACCTTCGGTGTAGAGCTTTGGTGAAGTTATAACCTTAGAACCTACTGAAATTCAGATGCAGATCTACGAAGTTTGAATTCATCCAGTTGTGCCTGGCTTGGGTCTGGCTGCTGTGCTCAGCTTTTTCCTGCTGCAGCCCTTGGAAGTGAACCTGTTGTGTCCCTCTGGCAAGATGTTCTGCTCCTGGATTAGCTGGGTGGTTCTGGCCCCTAGCCTATCTGCAGGGACTTCAGCTGCAGAGTTTCACTCCAGGCCTGGGCTGGGTCTGGATGGGTCCAGAGAGCAGGACAGAAAGACTCACTCATAAATGGGCCTGGGCTGGTTCTGGAGGGATCTAGCAGGCAAAGGGGAGCACAGAAGCTCTCCCACACACTTGCTAGGCCTGTGCTTGGGCTAGGTCTGCAGGGGTCCCGAGAGCACAGCGGAAGTTCTCACACGCCAGGCCTGGGCTGGTTATGGAGGGGTTCGGAGGGGTCCCAAGAGCAGGGCCGAAGATCTCACTCATGCGCTGGGCTTGGGATGGGTCTGTTGGAATCCAGTAGGCACAGGGGAGTGAGGAAGCTCTCCCACACACTCACTGGGCCTGGGCTTTGGCTGGGTCTGGAGGGGTCCTGAGAGCGTGACAGATGTTCTCACTCCTGAGCTTTCTTTTGTTGGTAGGTTTATAATTATATCTTTGATTTCATTGATTGAAATCAATGAAACAGGGTCCTAGCATTCTTGGAGACTGGATACCCTGATGCTCAAGAGCCTCACAGTGGGGGAGTGCAGGTGGCAAGGTGGGAGCTTGGGACATCCCAGTCGGCTAAGGAAAAAGGGCTGAGCTCCCAGGGCTCCAGCTAGCTCCTCCTTCTTTGTGCCACCTGCACTGCCCAATGCTGTCCTTCATGTGGTGTGTCCAAGTATCTTTAGGCTCACCTTGCTAGAATTTTTTGCCAAGCCCAAGTCCATCTCAGTGAGCTCTGAGCCAGGCAACATCATTAGTACTTGTCACCTTGAGACAACTAAAAAAAAAAGTATGAAGTAAGAATTTTCCCCAGCCCTACCAGGGCACTGGAAACACACTGCAGGTAGTCTAAAGCTGGCAGATAAAGCAGCTGCCTGGGGCTCCCAAGGAGGCCTGAGCACCCACTCACAGAGGCAGCCCAGCGAGGGCCACTGTGAGCAGCTGGCCTCCCTGGCCTCGTCTTGACTGAACATGTTGCTCACACTCACTGACCCCCAGGGATGTGTGTGTGAGACCCTCAAAGTGCTGTGGCTTCACCATTGAGACTGTTTGCTGCTGAGCTGTCACCATACCCTCTAAGCACTACTTGTCTCTATGCCCCCTGAGCCCATGTGACCCACAGGCGGCTCTCAGTGGAGTGGCAGAGGCCCAACTCATATCTGAGTGCTGTGTCGCTGCCTACAGCACACCTGTGACATTGCCAGGGCCTGTGAGAACCTCCATCCCCCAGAGTAGTCCTGACACTGCTGCTGTCCCAGGAGTGTAGGGGGACACCCCACAAGTGCTGTGCCCCCCTCAGGGCCGTAGTGTCTAAGAGGCACCGACAGTGGGTTCTCTCAGCTGCACAGGCTTTGTGGCCTGCACAAGCACTGGGGTCTGCTCTTTGAAATTAAATTATTTATTTTATTTTATTTTATTTTTTTGTGGAACTGGGGATTGAACTCAGGCCCTTGTGCTTGCCAGGGAAGCACTTATTCCACTGAGCCATCTCCCCGTCACCCCCTCGAAATTAAATTATTGAAATAAAAAAAGTCTTAAAAACAGAATTTCCTGAGTTTGCTGATAACTGCTATAGTATATGCACCCGCATCCTTGATTCACAAAAGACATCCCTGAGCACACTCAGGCACACAAGCCCCCTCCCCCCGGGAGGGTGTTCCTCCCTCAGAACTCGGGAATGAAAAGTAAAAGCTCAGTTAATGAAGTCACACACCTCTGGGTCTGAGTGTGAGGCAAATGACTTAACATTTTCTGTGCCTTAGTTTGTTCAACTGTGACATGCAAGTACTGATGCCTACCTCATAGTGCTACTGTGAGGTGCAATGGCCTAACACACACTAAAGGCTCAACACAGTGACTGGCACATCATCATAATGTCCAGTGCACACCAGCAAGCGGATCCTCCTGGTGCAGTCCTGCAAGCTCATCTTCTGCTGTGAAGAAGGTGGGTATGGCTCCTACAACTTAGTCTTGTTCCTGAGCTCAGACAGTTGGTTGCAGTGACTGGCCCTGCCCCTTCCCCCTCCCTCCGCCCTCTCTTTTTATTAACAGAAGCAGTCAGCAACATGTGGGTTTTGTTTCCCATTGGTTGAAATGGCTGTTGTCCTGGCAGCATTTGTAAACATTCTGTCTGGGTGTCCTGGGGAAAGGCTGCTGAGAGGCTGGGAGGCTTCTTCAGCTTGCACTGCTAGCATTTCAACAAGGATCTCCGCATTCAGGTATGTTGGGACATCTACAATGAGGCCTTGCAGCAGTGCTCCCTGTTCATCACCTAGACCCTACCTTGATCGTGCTCCCTCCTCTTCCCACCCATTCTGTCCGTCTTGTTGTGCTTACAGGAAGGGAAGGGGAGAAAGAAAATGAACTAGAAGAGACCAGTGAAAGGGACGTTTTGTGTCAGGTTAAAACCTGGGCTTCTTCCTGTGCCCCTCCCCACCTGGCCCCTCCTGTTGGAACACAGCTTTCCCTGGGGAAGGTCTTACGGTGACCATTTCATACATAAAATCCTTACCTCTTTTGCTCGGTGTTGAAGGTTATTGATTTGGCTTCTAGTCAGTTGCTGAAAGCTAACCCACCAAATGCCCACGTCACCAAATGGCCATTCACGGAAGGACCAAGATCCTGCCTGACTCACTGAAGCCCACCAAATCAAACAATGTACACAAACCTTTGATGTGTCTGCCTTTCACTGCAGAGTTGATAGCAAACAGCTGTGGTTAAATTGACACGGTCAGTTTTCTACTCGTAAGGGTCTTCTGCTCCTCTCACCTCCCACCCTTTAGCACCTTCCTGCTCTAGAATGGGCAGGTTGGACAGACTCCATTTTCCCCAGCAGATACTTCTGTCTATCCGCCAGCTGTGACAAGAAGAATCTGAGGCAGAGGCAGACTGAGCTTAAGTAATATCAGGGCTAAGTGAACACAGGTCAATATTATTAGAGGGATTTTTATTTATTTATTTTTTATTAGAGGGATTTTTAAAGCTGTTGTAATTCTTGGATCGGTAGCTATGGGAAGTGGGCTGCCTTGTGCAGTATCCACCAGCCCCTGGGCCCAGTGATGATGCTGAGAAAGGGAGTGAAAGTCGCCTTTCATGGACAAGGCTCACAGAAATAGAGTGGGTGCATTCTGGAGTCCAGATGAAAATGTGAGAACAGGCCCCATTACGCTTTGTGCATCTAGGAGAAACCAGCATTGTAGTTAAGAGCATGTACTACAGGCCAGATTGTCAGGGTGTGTAGCTGGGTCTCCTTATTTTCACAGGGTAACAAGAGTCCCTCTATTCATTTTTTTTTCTTTGTGGCCTGCTCAGTCCACCCTGGGGCCAGGGCTGGTGTGGCTTGTGGTGCCAGGGATTGAACCACAGTCTCTGTGTACTTGCCTAAGCAGGTTCTTTAGACCACTGAGCTATCTTGCCGGCCCAGTCCCTCTATTCATGATTCTAGGTCCCCACAGCAAATTGTCGGCATACTAAAAGTAGGATAGTTGGCAAAGGGAATATGTACAGAGATGTGGCCAGAGTACAGGGAAACACAGTAGAGTTCAGCCTCCTGGTGCTAGTTACAGAGCAGTCTAGTGAGGGTCAAAGGGAAGGAATGGTTACTCCTGCCAGCCTGAGGTGTTGTGGGAGACAAGGGCCTGGAGAGAAGCTGGAGCCTTCTCTGGACAGCCAGCCATGGATGTCCATATGGGGGAAAGCACTGCGTTCTCTCAGCCTGATCTCCCTGCTGTGTGTAACCTCCTGGAAGCCAGAGGGCACTAGAGAGCCATTTGCGCCGTTTATTGAGGCCTACTTTCCAGGGCAGTGACCCAGAGTGATGAAGGGAGGGCTGTGCAAGGGAAATGGAAAGTGCCCAGTGACAGAGTCCTCAGGTTGTCATGACAGTTAAATGAAATGCAGCAAGCATTCCCAAGTGGAGAGCTGTTATTTATAGAAAAATAAAAAGTAGCTCCCTTTGGAGAGAACATCTAAGAATTTCTCAAAAGGGAAAAGACTCAAAAGTATCGGGGGGAAAAAAGTACTCAAGGGAAAAGATGTAAAGCAGACTGGAAATGTGCAAAGACTCTTAGTTCTGTGGTGGACATGCACTCATTCTGATGTTCACATTCCCAATAGATGCCAAAGATACCTGGAAAATTTTAGCTACAATTTATGATAAGCCTTGCTAGAACTAGAGCATTTACAAAAATTTGGGGGTGGATGCTTTTTGAGACAATGTCTCACTATATAGCTATATAGTCCAGGCTGGTCTCAAACTCCCAGCAATCTTCCTGCCTCAGCCTCCTGAATGCTGAGATTGCAGACATTCACCACCATACCTGGTATCAATTGTTTTCTTTTTTAAAAAATCGTTTTGTTCATGTGATGAACCTCAAACCATAAAGCAGCAGTATCCCCAAGAGTGTTCACCAGAAAGCATGCTTACCAAGGCCAGATGTGAAAGAAAGATGCTCAGTATTCAGCTTTTAGTTAACATTTCCAGAAATGTTACCAAATCTAATACTCATAAGAGATACATATTTCAGGACAATGGATAGTAAACCATGTTAGGTTCCTTCCTTCCCTTTCCCCTCCCTTTCTACTTTTATCCTTCCCTCCCTCCTTCTCTCCCTTCCTTCCTTCCTTCCTTCCTTCCTTCCTTCCTTCCTTCCTTCCTTCCTTCCTTCCTATACAGGGTTTCACTTCACAGATTGGACTCATAGTGATCCTCCTGTTTTCAGCTTCCCAAATGCTGGGATTACAGGCATGCACTAGCACGTCTAGTCTCAACCATGGGCCTCTGCACTGAGTTACATCCCCAGCTTTTTTTTTTGGAAACAAGTCTTGTAAGTTGCTAACTTATCTAGGCTAGGCTTGAACTTTAAAAAAAATACTAACCATTTTAATTCAAATTATTACTATTTTGGAAAGATAAACACAACTGATAGAAAATATAAGAACTTTCATTGTACAAATTTTACCTAACATTTAAAAATCAAAATGTGAGCCTTGCAGCACATGGGAGGCGCTAAGTGTACACGTGTTACACACGAACTTAAAATCTTCCTGCCTCAGCCTCCCAGAGTGCGGGGATTATAGACATGTGCCACCATGCTTGGCTAAAAAATGATAGATTCTTACTTGGAAAACCCAAGAGGAAAAAGAAAAATACTGAAACATCAATCTCTGCTCTACTGCATATTTTTAATTATTTATTTATTCATTTATTTTGTAGCCAGGGATATAGCTCAGTGGCACAAGTGCCTGCCTGGCAAGTGCAAGGTTCTCAGCTCAGTTCCCAGTACCAAAATAAATAATTTTTTGGCACTGCAGACTGATCCCATGGCCTCTCACATGATAGGCAACGGTGTTGCTTTTTTTTTTTTCCTGTATTTAGGACGGGGTCTATAGGGTATACCAGGTTTCACTACACAGATTGGACTTGTAGTGATCCTCCTGTTTTTAGTTTACCAAGTGCTGGGATTACAGGCATGTGCCACCTTGCCCAGTCTCAATCTCTGTCTCAGCACGCATGCACGCGGGGGGCAGGGGAGGGAAGGTGGCACGGCATGCTGGGGATTGAACCCTGGCTACTGTGTTCTGCCTAAGCAGGCGCTTTAGTCAGCTGAGCTATCAGGCTGGCCCTTGCTTCTTTATTTTTATTTTTATTTTTCAACAAATAATACACTGCATATATTCTTCTTAGTGGTTAATTGCTGTACAAGATGCGGACTTGTGATCCTATTTACAAACACCATTAGA